GAGTGAGTGAGTGAGTGAGGGAGTGAGTGAGGGAGTGAGTGAGGGAGTGAGTGAGGGAGTGAGTGAGTGAGTGACTGAGGGAGTGAGCGAGGGAATGAACGAGGGAGTGAGCGTGAATGTGAATGTGAATGTGAGTGTGAGTGAGTCAGTGAAGAGTGAGTGTGAGTGAGAGTGAGTGAGCGTGTGTGAGTGAGTGAGAGTGAGTGAGAGAGAGTGAGAATGCATGTGAATGAGGGTGAGTGCGCGCGCTGTGTGTGTAAGAAGACAAAGGTCTAGATGTCGGGAAAGCGGCGTAGAGAGCACACATATGAGAGCAAGCTAGAGTTTCAGAGGTCTACGCATTTCTAGAGAGCACCTGAGAGCACAATCACCAGAGTACGCATCAAGTAATTGAATGAGTGAGTGAGCGAGAGTGAGTGTGAGCGTGAGTGAGGGTGTCGGGAAAGCGAGAGTACACATATAGAGGAGCAAGCTAGAGTTTCAGAGGTTGCCACGAAATCTGCACTTGCAGGTTCACACTGCAACGAAATCTGCACTTCGAGGTTCACACAGCGCTGTGCCTGCCACGAGCTCTGCACTTCTGCCACGAAATCTGCACTTCGAGGTTCACAAAGCGCTGCGCCTACCACGAGATCTGCGCTTCGAGGTTCACAAAGCGCTGTGCCTGCCACGAAATCTGCACTTCGAGGTTCACAAAGCGCTGCGCCTGCCAAGAAATCTGCACTTCGAGGTTCACAAAGTGTGTGCCTGCCACGAAATCTGCACTTCGAGGTTCACAAAGTCCTGCGCCTACCACGAAATATACACTTCGAGGTTCACAAAGTGCTGTGCCTGCCACGAAATCTGCGCGTCGAGGTCACCAAGTGCTGCGCCTGCCACGAAATCGGCTTTGAGGTTCACAAAGTGCTGTGCCTGCCACGAAATCTGCAAGCGAACCACATGTCCAAAAGTCACGATTCACTGCACCTGTCACGAAACTCGAAGATCACAGCCACATGTCCAAAGTGCTGCGCCTGCCACGAAATCTGCATTTCGAAGTAAAACCGCTCCGATCCCTTGCGCCTGTCACGAAAAGTCGACTTGGGAGCACTAAAGCACGAGGTTTCCCTTGCGCCTGCCACGAAAAGTGACCACCGTGTGCGAAAATCCGCACGGCGCCACAACAAGAGCGCAGTCGCGACAAGCACCCGCCCCCGCCACCCAGATTTCGCGAGCCTGCGTCGAAATGCACGTCGACGACTTCGAGAGGCATGAATGTATTGCAAATAGCAGCGCACACGCCCGCGCGACACAGCGATCTAACACAGGTGCTTGACACCTACCGTGAGAACCCCTAAGTGTGTCCACACTGTTTGAGGAAAAACGCACCACTTCACCACCCATAGAAGGGGCCAATTCTCGTCACAGGTAGAAGCTGCTTTGAACGAATATGAAGCGACTGAAAAGAAAGGAACTGACATGAAAGCTTTGCAATTTGAAAATGAAGAGAGCTTGTGGAGATGTCAACGAAAAGGGAAAATATAAGGATTTCGATTGGCAAGCCTCAAGGAAAAGGAAGCAAATAAACTTTCCCAAACAAGAAAGAAACCCGGAGGATTGACAAGGAAAGCAAACAAAGCAGGGAAAAGCGCGCTGCGTGCGCGCGCATCCCAAGCGCGCACCTTGCAAACAGTTGCCGTCCGTGGGAAACTCCCTAATTGCCACAGGCGACGCGCAGGCTCTGCGCAAACGATTAATTATCAGTTGCGCGTGCACCAAAGTTGGCCCAGCTGAAAAAAAACAACAGCGACGTTCAAACCGCAAGCCGCTGCAAACTTTCCTGCGCTCAGGCAAAGTGTCAGCAACAGACTACTGACCCGCAGCAGCGCTAATGCTTCTTGCACGTAGAGTCGAGTCGATCGTAGAGATTTCGACGGTTGCTGGCGAGCCGGATGTATATGAAGAAGAAGACATTGAAAATGATGGCTTTTGTTGAGCTGCCTGGCCTGCTTCTGCGTTGTCCACTTTAGTAGCGTCTTCACCAGACTCCTCCTTCTTTCCATCATTATCCTCCACTGAGGCAACTTCCGCGCGCTCATCTTCCTCCTCTTCCCTCGTTTCATCCTGGTGCAGCCACTCCACGCAATCTTCCAAACGGAGCATTTGGTGAGCCTCTCACGTCGCTGGCTATGGGCCCTCCAGTTTCTCTTGCCGGACACGTTCCAACCTCCAGTGAGACCAGAAAAGCTCGCTACAAGCGGGAAAGTTGAGGCCGAAGCTTGCGGAAGGCGACCGCCTGCTTTCGCTATTCATCACGCCTGCGCGCAGAATGCATGGATCTGCCAGCCGGCTGCGCGCAGTCTCCTTCGCAGGAGACACTGGCTCTGCCGGACGCTGTCGAGACCACGGGCGTAGCGAGAAGCTTGGGGGCCACGACGAGAAGTCTTTATAAGCAGGCAGTTGCATGATTTGCCAGGTTGCGCACATCTCTACAGGTATACAGTACGTTTTGAATGCATGTTGATTTCTTGAAAAGTTGCTCACAAGCCCCTTTCCAAACAAGTCGAAGTTGATTTCTGAAGTGTGTTGATCCATCTCGTTTTTTGCTCCTCTCTAAGGTTTTTGCAAGCTCTCATTGGTTTTATTCATCTTCTTTACTTGGCTTGGATTGGTTGAAAGTGTTTGTTGTTGGTACCCTTGAGCTGTTTGTAAGCCATCATAGATGTTTGGCATGTTTTTTATTCGTGTCAAGGATTCTGTAAGTTGTGACTTGTTCGTACCGGTTTCAGAGGGTATTGCATCATGTTGCCTAAGCCTATAAGCAAGTGGATGCGCTTACAAGCAAAGCAAATACTTCACACAACAGACGACGCTAGTACCTTGAATCTTGATGTTGATGTTCATTGAATCACTGAATTGAGTGGTACCTTCCCCTGGTGGTCGCGCAAATCATATCACTTCCAAAAAGTACACAGTAGGTACCTACTGGTAATATACGCATACTATCTGGCCACCTCACAGCCACGCCACTGAGACTTGTACAAAAAAAACAGTACAGGCCAGGTGGAAGACCAGCAAGCACTTGATACTGTAGATCAAGTACACCTCGCGTCCACTATATATACAGTTCAAGACTTTTGCCTGGCCTCTCAGAGCAACGGGAGGCATGACACATCGAAAATGACATGTCCTCGACCGCCTGTCAACGGCCTGCAGGACCCTTCTGATTCCACCCGTCTGCCTGCTGAAAACACCAAGACCACATCTGGCTTGGCGAGCGGCGCTCTTGTGGGTGGATGGGGGATGGATCGGGCTTCATCTAAGAGCAGCAGTCGTTTGCATCTCAGACCCCCCTATGGACCAAATGCTGAACAACATCCTGCTTGCAGCTGGACGTGCTGGACATCACGCCGTTGAGAAAATATCCAGAACTCTGACACCATCGGTTCAGCAAGCCCATTTGCTGCGGCCTACATCCTCCAGATCTCATTGGGCATCTTCGGGCCTACCACGGAGACCTATGGCTGGCTTCTACTGAGCAGGCTGCGGAGCCATTGCTGTCCAGGCTCCGCTGGTGTGCCTGCCGTCCCCATTCTTGAGGCCATTTGCGATTCTTCACAAACTGTTCAGGAAGGGACTGACCAACTGGCAGTACTTGAACTTTTTGGCTCCCCGGGGCATGTGGAGGATCCCTTTGCAGATGGCTGGGAGCCCGCCGATTTTTGAAGGAAGAGCGTAGAGAAAATAATGAACTTATTCTGAAGAAGAAGAAGAGAATTATGATGATGATGATGATGATGATGGCGCTGCTGAAGATGTCATGAACACAAAATGTTGAAGTTGTGTCCCCAATTCATTGAACAACAGTAAAGATTGAATTATATAATATATATATATAATATAGATGACTGCAGGACATTCAAACGACGTGCTGCCTCAACATGACTTTAGAATCCAAACCCAGCCTACTCCGGATGTTCCTGCCATTGTGGGAAGCATGCGCGGGAGAGGCTTTTGTGGGCCTTGCATCTGTAGGTACATGGTCTCTTGCACCTGCAAAACGCGGATATAGAAAACAAGTGCTCAAGAAAAATGATGAAAAAAAGGGTTAGTGCTTCTCAAAGTGTCGGAAACTAAACTAGAAAAACGCTCACATACTTTACTGCCAAAGCACGCTCGCATACTTTCCATAGTTCCCCGGATTGGGTCTGTTCACTGGGCCAGAGCGTGACCACCGGCTCATAAGTGCGACTCGTTGGGACACGGTCGGACACAGGATTGTTCGAGCTGGTTCGAACAGCTCGAGGCTGCAAGCTCGTCAATCAAAACAGAAGAGCAAGGCTGAGAAAATGTATTTCAAAACGCAGTGTCTACCAATGAATAAGAGCATGTCTACCAAGAATGTACGATACTCATGCAAAAATATCAACAAAGTACTGCACCGTGTCTAGATGAACTAAGGCAAGCAATCTTCAAAAATCATTTTGTCAATGGCAATGAACGTCCTAGCCTCAAAAACCGATGGAGGAGCTCTTGCACCGTTCTGGCGCCGATACGCGATGATCTGCTGGACGGTCACCTCGCACGTTCTATGCGCGCCGTCTGTGCTAAGTTTTCTGCCCGTCAAAGCATATCCACAAGCTAAGCCAGGAACGATGGGGATGCCATGCGCTCTGGCAAACTCCAAGCTATCATCCCGTCGGTACATTGTGCCATCATCATGCATCTGGAAGCACGCAAGCGCGTTCACATCACTCACACTCTATTCTTACCCTTCAAGCCCAAGACCAGCTCGGCAAGGACGCCAACTGGCGTCATGCCAGCAAGGCGGCAAAAGTCAAAGGTGGATTCAGTGTGTCCTGAAGATGGCAATGGCAAATTGAATAGACAATTTTTTTGTTTAGTTTCATGGATTCAGTTTGGATGGCTGGCGTTTTCCTAGCAATCAATTGGCGCAAAGCAATGTTCAAGTCCGAGACTTGGAAATGCCCACAACCCTGGGACCCTAGATCCAATATGATCCGATGAGGGAGAATCAACATCGAACGTATCATGTCCAGTCCGAGAGCCCACTTTCCCTGTCTCGAACCAACAGGACTGTCTCAATTCAGGGCCTAATCAAGACATGAAAAGTCGACATCTTGAATTCTGAAGCAGGGGATCCTACGGAGATCACGTAGAGAGTCGATCATGGAACGGGACCCTGGACCTTTGTTGCAATCTCTTTGCCAAACGGTACTTTTTGCAACAAGGATTTTGGAACTACGACGAATAGAGGGCCTGGAACCCAAACTATTCATGTTTGTTGATTGGTATATTGCAAAGCACCCTTGAAATTTCATTTGTAATATGTTCAACCAAAATCGTCAAAACCGGGCTGATTTAAGCGTCTAAGAGCGATGGGCAGGAAATGCGAGCGTCGGTCCACATGTCCTAAATTTGGGGTGTCCAATAGGTGTGAGCACACGGCTGGCGACAGATTGGCTTGAACAAGGACATGCTAAAATGCATTTCAAGATGCGCAAATTTTCCCGGCCCCAACAACCCCAAGGTGCCACTCACTGCGAAGCCCAACAACGGCCAAAACAAGCCGCCCATGCCCATTTGGCCAGCTGAGAAGAAAGAGAGACAAACAGACAGACAAACAGACAGAAAGGACAAGACAGGACAGGACAGGACAGGTAGTTCTGGCGATGTTGTCGAGGGCGCGAATCTATGGTTGTTGGCAAGTGGCTGCAGGCGTGTGCCCAGTCTTGTGATGGAGCCAAGCAAATGAGGATCTGGCGGCGCGCGCAGATGCCTTTGTAGGCGCTGCTTCTAGTTCGGCCTGTGATACAAGTTTCACTGACCCGCCTGAAATGAGCGATGGAAAAAATATGTAAATTCAGCGCAGTGTCTCTTGGTCGAAATCGTTTCTGCGCGAGGGATCAAACAAGTGAATTGCCTTTTTTCCTGGAACACAGCGCTACTGTTAGGAGGAACTCTTGTCATGGTTGCGAAAGCATTTCCGCACATGTTTCATGACGCGCGCAGGTTTGCTTGGCCATTTCGCGTAGTCTGCTGCGTTTCGTCAAAGGCCGTGTTTTTCACGCGCCTGCTTTGTAGAATGAAGCTAACACCAAACCTCGCGAAGCCTTTCGCGAATACATACAACATCGCACAGCACCCTCGGGTTGGCACATTCGTTTGGGGAGAGAAAGTGGCGAAAGCTTCGCGGTTGTCCCCCAGACTATGCAAAAAATGACACGGCTCAAGTTGTTTCATGAGAGGCTGGTGATCGCCTTCATCGCTGGGGTTGTTTGCAGAAAAGTTTCGATATGCGCAAAACAGCGCTGGCCCCACGAGGGGTGGGCCTCGACCAGCGCTTAATGCTTCGTTTGGTGCTTGTCAGCTTGTCCAAGGAACCAGTCCACCCAAGCAATGGAAGCGGTTGGCGGTAGATTCGATTTCTTTTAAGTGGCCGGTGGGGCCAGGTTGTGTCTTTGGTGATGTGGCCCATTGCTCTTCAGAGTCCATGTCTGTGCGGGCATGACCCTCGAACACTTGCAGCGTCGTCCTCAAAGGACAATGGCCGATGTTTCACATCATTTGTGTATAGTTTTCTCAGAGCTGAACCTTGGCGAGGGGAGGCGCATCGAAATGTGGAGCCCGTACACAACTCCATTTGTACAGTGTTGTTGACTACTGACGATGTTTGGTTTAGCTCAAGGTGACCAAGGTGAGAAAAAGCACTCCGTAGGGCCGGTACAGTGTCTTGACAAACTGGGTTCTTTTTTCTCTCACAAAAGACACGTGGACACGTGCGGGGTCAACGTCAGTTCATCCTTCCTTTGCGAAAGTCGGTTGCAATCGGGAGGTCACAATCGCTCATTCACAGCCGTCAACGAGACTGTGAACTCCAGAAATCAAATTAGCCGCGCTCTTGGCGCCGCAGTGAAATCTCCACAGCTCACAAGCAGCCAAGCAGCGCTTGCAACTTCGAGAAGCTTTGCCATCAGAGATTTCTGTGAACCGTCACAAAGATGCGCTGCGGCTGGAGACGCTCATATCGCCTCCTAGCTTTTGAGCCACTTGCAGTGTAAGTCGGCAGCGACCACAATGCCCTTAGCACAGGGGCATAGTTGAAACTCCTGCGCGCAACCATGAAACTTCATCCCTCTAGTACCCTAAGTCTGCTGATTACCTAAATTTATTAAATTAGTAAATTTACAAAAATCGATGAAATTACTTTACTTCGAAATTCCCCACCCTCAAAGAATTGGTCTTCACAAGAGAAAAGCGGTTCGGCGCGAAAAGGATTCTTTATTGAAAACAAAACCACACATCGAATACTTACTTGTGAGGTTTCTGAACTTCGATATTTTAATGCCTGGCAACCCCGCATCCCTGCCAAGTCAACTTGTGGTGGATATGCTGTGGAACTGGTACTTGGGAGCACTCTGGTGAATGTGCTGGTGTAAAGGCTACGCTGGGCTACTCGGGGCCACTCTGGTGGATTTGCTGTGTAAGGGCTACTCTGGGCCACTGTGGGCCACTCTGGTGGATGTGCTGTGTTCTTTGGGTTGCTCTGAGCTACGCTGGGACCACTCTGGCGGATGTGCAGAAGTAGCGAGTCTACTGAAGTCCAAAGTTCTTAAAATCTAACAGCCCCACAGTCCTACGGGTGGGGAAAAAACTGCTTTGATAAGTACATTACAAGTCTACAACTATCCTGCGATCTCTTTGGTAAATGCGCTGTGGAGAAGCTAAGTTGCGCTACTAAAAACTGTGGTTGCTGTGGACAAGCTAAGTTGAACTACTTAGAAATCAGTTTGTGAATGTGCTGTGGAAGAGCTAGGCAGCTAGGTTTAGCTACTCAGGGATCAGTTTGGTGAATGTGGTGTGAATACTCAGAGGTCATTTTGGTGAATGTGCTGTGGAAGTGCTACGTTGAATTACTCAGGGATTACTTTGGTGAACAGGGATCAGTTTGGCGAGCGTGCTGTGAAAGAGCCACTTTGGGCTACGCAGAGATCACCTTGGTGAACGTGCTGTGGAAAAGCTAGCTTGAAAACTCAGGGATCACTCTGGGGAACGTGCTGTGGAAGAGCTACTTTGGGCTACTCCGGGATCTCTTTGGTGAACATGCTGTGGAAGTGCTGCGTTGAACTACTCAGGGATCACTTTGGTGAGTGCGCTATGGAAGAACTGCTTTGGGCTACTCAGGGATTACTTTGGCGAGTGTGGTGTGGAAGAGCTAAGTTGGGCTAGTCAGGGATTCCTTTGGTGAACGTGCTGTGAAAAAGCTACTTTGGGCTTCTCAAGGATTACTTTGGTCAACGTGCTGTGGAAGATCTAAGTTGGGCTACTCAGGGATTACTTTGGCGAGTGTGGTGTGGAAGAGCTAAGTTGGGCTAGTCAGGGATTCCTTTGGTGAATGTGCTGTGGAAAAGCTACTTTGGGCTTCTCAAGGATTACTTTGGTCAACGTGCTGTGGAAGATCTAAGTTGGGCTACTCGCGGACTACTTTGGTGAGTGTGCTGTGGAAAGGCTAAGCTACTCAGGGACCACTTTGGTGAGTGCGCTGTGGAAAAGCTAAGTTGGGCTACTCAGAGACCACTTCGTGAGTGTGCTATAGAAGAGCTAAGTTGGGCGACCGGGCGTACTGAAGTCCGAAGTTCTAAAAACCTAACAACCGACAGGCCTACGGGTGAGAAAAACGCAGCCTTTGTTGGCTTGATAAGTACATTGCAACTCTACAACTACCTTGGAATCACTTTGGTAAATGTGCTGTGGAGAAGCTAAGTTGCGCTACTAAGAACTGTGGTTGCTGTGGAAGAGCTAAGATGAGCTACTTAGAAATCGGTTTGTGAATTTGCTGTGGAAAAGCTAGGTTTAGCTACTCAGGGATCAGATTGGGAATGTGGTGTCAATGCTTAGAGGTCATTTTGGTGAATGTGCTGTGGAAGTGCTACGTTGAACTACTCAGGGATTACTTTGGTGAACAAGGATCACTTTGGCGAGCGTGCTGTGGAAGAGTTAAGTTGAACTAGTCTGAGATTACTTTTGTGAGTGTGCTGTCAAAGAGCTACGTTGAACTACTCAGGGATTACTTTGGTGAACAGGGACCACTTTGGTGAGTGTGCTGTGGAAGAACTAAGTTGCGCTACTCAGGGACCACTTTGGCCAGTGTGCTGTGGAAGAGCTAAGTTGCGCTACTCAGGGGCCACTTTGGCCAGTGTGCTGTGGAAGAGCTAAGTTGCGCTACTCAGGG